CCGCCCCCCCTTCTGGCTAGAGGACCCGGGAGCAGACGGGAAACAGAACGGCCGGCCGCAGCGCAGATTCTGAGCCGCGTTTGGCTACGGCTCACCAGGAGCTGTGCCAAGCACAGAATGCCTCCAGAGGCGTTTGAAACCCAAACGCCAAAGTTGCTGTTCTGAGCCGTTGTTCTTGGGTTGGAGTCTGGATGTTTGAAGGACAGCTGTGTGTACTCAGCTGCATTCTGTGAACGGATCTCCCAGAACGATCCCGTGTCAGAAACGCTGAGCTTCAGAGTCAGACAGCGCCTTTGCACAGATGCACTGGGTGCAACAGGGCTGCTTGGCGGGGAAGCGGTTGCCGGACTGGGGCTGCCGGGGCTCGACCCTGTGCAAGGCTGGCCTGGGGCAGCACGGTCTCTGTGGCATGAAACAAAATGGCTCTTTCCATCCCCCCGCCCCCAAATGCCACGTGGCACAGAGTAGCGGGCATTTTCTATGCAAGGCTCCTTGCACAAAATGTGTGTGCACGCAGGGGCCCTCCATTCCAACCCGCCTCGCGCAGGGGAAGCCCCCACTGAACGGTCTGGGCAGACCTGCTGCCTGGGTCCTTTGGGGTGGGCCAGGGGCCTCAGGCCCTCTCCAGACACTGACTCGCCTTCCAGCATTTTCTGCCAGGGCTCATCCCGGCTCTTCTTCTCTGCAAGCGGTGCAGCATTTCCAGGCGAGATAAGAATATTCCTGAGCTGTGCAACGTGAATGTCATGTCCTGTAGTGTTATAGCAGAGGGTTTTTTAAAAATATGCTCTAAGAAATTTCTTGGTATATCCAATATTCATTGTGAAAGGAGATTTTTTTTTCTTTTTCTGTTCTGTACCTTTTTTAGAAAGACCTGTGCTAGCAATAAGCATTTATACTGTATACTCTGAATTATACGTGTGGTGTCAATGTGTGTTATTCCAAATAAATAACCATTGTCTGGTAAATGAAATTGCCATTTTCCCTTAACGTTAACGATTTGCTGAAATTCAGCTTCAGGGTTGCACAGCTCTCATAAATAAGTCTTGGGAGTCTCTTGAGATCACTTAGAATCTTGCGTATAGTTTTAAAAGTGACAAGCAGTGACAAGAAGAAGAAAAACCTTATTTTCCATAAAGCGTCCCATCAAAAGGGCTTCCAGAACAAAATCTGCCCCTTTTTCCTTCTTGGTGGGACCCCAAGAGCGCCTATCTGAACCAAGGCGAGGCCTTCTCAGTAGCA